ATGTACCTTAGTCATATCATCACAAGAACGTATCCTAACGCTATTGTTCTATCCATCTATCACAAACCTATCCCTTTCTACCCATAACCTAACCGTATTCTTTCATCAATCTCTCCTATCCATAGCACTCCAGTATGTAACCTAACCTTAACGTTTCATGAACGTATCTTACTCCTATCGTTACATTTCGTTTTGTGCATTCTTCTTGTATCCTATCTCAAACATATCCTTGAGCACATCATACTATAATTATTATCATACAATCCACATGTTATAACATAACATAACATAACATATAGGAAGCATATCGATCCACAGACAATTCACACATATCAATATATATGACACGTGTAGAACCACAGGGCACGTGTCAACATTAAATATAACCATGCCGATAGTAAGGTTACTTACCTGACTCGCTTAAGTCGTTGTCACAAATATATCTTTAATGAAAGTTCGATTCCGTCCTTTGAAATCTGAGTCAACCTATATGAGCTCAAGACATCAGTTTCAAGTTTAAACTCTATAAAATTATTTCCGTAATTTACAGTGGCCATCCTAAAATTATATTTTCTGTTAGACAAAATTTAAAGGAGCTCACTACCCTCTTATATCTATTGTTTTATTGTTAAATACAGTTAAACAAATCTTTCCTCAATCTGTCTCTCTAATTATTTTCATTACGTAAATAAGTTTTTAAATTTTGTAAACACATATTACTGACCAATTTTAAGTCCATTGTTTGGCTGATCTTTTAGTTTATAGATCTGCCAACTAAAATTTTATTAAATCTAACCTTATAACCTTATTTCTTATAACTTAAAATGCTAACAAAAATCTAATCAATTATAATATGGGATCTGATTATTACAGACCTATTAAGATATGAAAGAAGATTTGATCCTAAATTAATTTCTTATAACCATAACTATAAAGGAAGAGGAAATCTGAGCTAGGATTTTACCGTAATAACTGACAAAAATCTATAAATCTGCCTCTGCTTATGTTAAGCCATTTTACTTCTTTTCAAATTGTTGTAGCCATTTTACTTCTTTTCAAATTGTTGTTTTCCTATTTCTTTTTTTTTTTTTTTTTTTTGCAGTTGGCTTAAGGATGGGTAGAGGAGAGATAATTGTGGGAAGGGATGAGAGGTTAGTGGAGAGAGGTGGGGAAAGATTTTTTATTTTTATTTTTAATTTTAATTAATTAATTAATTAATTTATTATTATTATTATTTTAACTTTTTTTTTTATAAAGTTTTTTTTATTTGTTTATTTGTTTATTTATTTTTTGGGCTATTACAGATAATGGATCAAGGTCCTTAGGCTCAAAAAAATCCTAAACCTCCTATAGTACAACATGCTCATGACTCATACTACATGGCTTGGAACGTAGAAAGCTTTGGATGTAGGTTTTCAAAATATGCTGCTTAAAACGTAAGAAGTCTTGAGCGTAGGTATTTAGTCTATACGACCTAGAACGCATGAAGCATTGGACATAAGTTTTCAAACCGTATCATAGGGAATGCATGAAGCCCTAACGTGTTCAATCTACGTCACTTGGAACATATGAAGCCTTGGACGAAGGTTTTCAGACTACGCTACTTAAAACGTAAGAAGCCTTAAGCGTAGGTATTTAGACTATGCCACTTGGAACGTATGAAGCCTTAGGCATAGGTTATATGACCTTATAGTAGGGAACGCATGAAGCCCTAGATACAGGTTCAGACTACGTCGCTTAGAAATCATGAAGGCTTGGACGTAGTTTAAGACTATGTTGCTTAGAACGTATGAAGCCTCAGATACAGGTTGTCAAGTGTCTGACTTATACCATAAATCCTAGTGGTAGTGACTTGGAGAAAAAAAAAAGAATATAACAAGAAAATAGAAAATAACCAAGACGAGACAATGATCAAGAACTAGAAGATGGGTTAAGATCCAAGTTCTTAAAACAAGAATCCAGACCCATAGTACTAAGCCCCTTAGATCAGAACTAAGGCTGAGACGCCAGAATCCAAGGACCAAGGTCCTTAAGCTAGATCATGGCAAGAAAGTACTTCCAACCAGAACCATAACAAGTTAAAGAAGAAGTGTGGTACCTTAGCATAAGCAAGAACACGATTAAGAGCCTACAAGTAGGCTACTTACTAAGTCTTTGTACTCGCTCCATGTTTTTCATGTTTTTTAGGTAAATAAGAAGCTAGTCGAGATTTGGACGAAGACTCTAGAGTAGGTGTTATACGAAACTACACCATTTTTAGCTACTTAAATATTTTTATGCTGTTTTAATTACCGGGCCGCCCAATGTAATCAAACTTTAACCTGAATTCGTAAATAAAATATATTTATGTTTTATTTTAAATATGAAAAATTTCACCATCCATTTTTACATGTCTTTTCATCTTTTTAAGCTTTTAACAAGTCGCGGCTTGTGAAGAATCGAGTCATGACATCTCTGTCTTTCCCTCCGATTAGGACTAACGCAGTCATCACTGGTCCTTCCTCCAAATTGATGCTTTTTGCCCCTCCAATTAGGAAGGAATGTCATGTTTTCATATGCACGTGTCCGCACTTCTTCATCCTAAAAGTGGAGTCACTTACTAAGTATTCATAATGTTCAATATTTTCCATAATGTTTTCTAGAGTAACGGAATCCTACGTGACAGACGGTGATTCCTACACCAGTCATGGACAATCATGATAGAATTAGCTTCCGAAAAATTTTCACATTTTAAATACTTTATCAAGAAGTTAGAACGCTTAAGAATTGAATGCATTAGGTAAGTTATTCATGTATTCTTCTTGAACCATGAGCGAAGGAATGAAACATATATAAGACTTAGTATCTATGATAATACAAAGAATTCTTTGAAGTACCTAGCTTAGTTAGTATGATTAAGAAGGATGTCAAAATAGTTCAAAAGAGCAAGGAGTGCCAACACGTGAGGATTTTGTGTCAAAGACTTGGTTATTTTTCAAATTTTAAGTATTTCAGTTGAAAAATGAGAAAATATTGCTATAAATTTCACTCCATAATTTCAAAGAAGATGAAAGATTGTGCTGTACTCTGGTTACGAGTAGGTTTCCTACCAAGTTTGCACACTTCATTCAATTTAGGGTCACATATGTTGATAGTGTTGATTAAAGACACTCAATGTCTTGGAAACGTTAAAGATGACATTTGATACTTTATAAGATTTTAATATTTCATTCAAAGATTGATGATTGGATAGAACATTTGGATCCATGTCCTAGAAGACATGCTTAGACATGACATCAAAGATTGTTTTAGTATTGATGAACTTGTCGTTCCTCATGCAACACTAATGGAATAAGTTATGCACTTAATAGAAAAGTTAAATGTGGCTAGGACTATGAAGGTAGGAGTATTTTCTAGACCACAATGGGAATCGAACTCACGAACTTATGATGTAAAGTCAGAAGCGCTAATTCACTTCACTATGCGATCATTTTTTAAAGTTTGTACATATACGTTAATATAAATATATTTCTTTTACATTCTTCCGACTAGAATGTTAAGCTTAAATGCTCTTAGACCTTATAGTCTTATCAAATAAAGGCCAAATGATTATCTTTCATAGTAGGCAAGACTATATACATGTAAAGTAATTAACTCTGACGTTTAGAGAATTATCTTTTAATATTGTTTTCATCTTATTCAAGTTTATGTTAATCAAATTAAATGAAAAAGACAAGTACTATCTAACTAGTCGATTTATTCTTGATTCCATACTCATGAATATCTTAATATTTTTGTGGTGGCCAACCGTCGGTTAATATAATCATTTACCCGTTGGATCGTGTTTAGCTAATTACAGGTTCAAGAATTGGCTAGGCATGGAAATAACCAAGATACCTCTCTAGGGTTGACTTTAACAATTATTTTTAAATCTTTACTATTTTTTAATATATATTTTTTAAAAGTTTAGGTGATTTTTTTCTAGGAAATAAGGTGTTTAATCTTTTCTGAAAGACTTCATAGTGTTTTATTGTATTTTTTAAATTTCAGAGAATTATCTTTAAGACTATAAGTTATAACCAAGGTTACAACCTTACTGTAACTTTTAATTTCAATACTATATATAGTAATTGATGTCATTGGTTTAGTAGGAAGATTTTGGATATTAAAAATGAAGTTGGTATATTATGCGTTCTTAAATCATGAGTTTGTTTTTTTTGCATTTCTTGTGTTTAGATTTACATCCTAAAGTAATTTCAAGTAGTCTTGATCAAACTATCTTGTGGAGTGATTCGAATCACGAGTTTAGAAATGATTTTTTTTTATTTTTGATCTTGATCATCATGATAATTTGTTCCAAAATTTTCTCTTGGGTTGATTCGTTATTGTCTTTGGAGTTCTTAGATAATTTAGATCCAGAGATCTCATTCTTTAACAAGGTTTTTAGATCTAATCCCAAAAGTTTCATATCATTTAGCATCAAAATTTTAGGTTTTAGGTCGGATATATGTTTTCATTGTTGTTTATTTCTTATTTTCCATTATGTAATTTTCTTATTCTTTTTCATTTTTCCTATTCTATCATATCATTAATATATATATATATTTGTTATTCTTTTTATTTTCTTTTGTCTTCTCCCGTTCTAAAACTTTGTACTTTTATAAGATCTTGAAATTTTGGTTGCATAGAGGAGAAAAATATGTACTTTGGTAAAGATGTGAAAGAAAGCTTCTTTTTCTTGTCTATTTGCTTTCTTTGCAACAGGTTACAAGAGGAGATCAACTAAATCTATGTTTCATCATCAAGCACAAAGACTTTACAAGACAATATTATTACTAATGATGTAGAGGCAAGTAAAGATAGTATGCAATTATATGTTCTTCCATGTCCATTAGAGACAAAATGTGAAGGGAGTGAAAAGGAGAAAAAATGTGAGGAAGAAATATTTTACATGTGTATAGAGATTAAAGAGAGAGAGTTTTGTTACTAAATTTGTCAATGTTTTATACACCAGAGGATAGATACACAAACATGAACGCAAAAGGGCTCTGTCACCAAGAGAGTTAGAGAGAAAATTGAGAGGAATTAGCCACGAAGTTCATCGGACCACCGTCGAAATCCACCTTCAGACGAGACTTATACAAGGACTGAGAGGCTAGAGAGGCCGACACTCCGTCAAGATCCAAGAACGTTTCGCGAGGTAAGGTTCTGAACGACATTTTTCAGATCTGAGCTTTTCCTATGTGAATCGAGTCCTAAAATGTTGAGATATTCACCTAGGAACAACTCTACGCACGATCTGTGGAGGGTTTGGTCGAGATCTCAACCCGAAGGAGGAGATCCGAGAATCGTTCGAGAACGGTAAGCAAAATTCCGACACTCTTAACTCGTCCGGTAGTCAAGCAAAAAATTACAACAAAAATACCAAAACATAGCCCGTAACACGATCTAAAACTTTGCCGAAGAAATCATATCGATCCAAACTACGAATCAAAAGATATGAAAATCGGAAATGGGACTCTGTGTTACGGATTGTAGAGGACAAAGGAAAAAAAGAAGTCGGCCAGCAAGCGGCGGAGGGCTGTCGCGCCGGACAAACGTCGACCGTTGGTTGGAGCAACGCAGCTCCAGTGAGACGATGACACGTGTCGCCCGCAAAGCCCGAGCCGAGCCAAATCGGACCGGCTGACCCGCGACTGCATAAAAGCTGCCGCGCGTGTGGCCTGTGACTGGCGCACTCCGACACGCATGGTCAGCGCACTTCCGACGCATGAGTGCGCGTGAAACGGCCGTTTTGGCCTGTTTGCTCTCTATTTGTCCAATTTGTCCCGGTTCCAGTTCTAATCATGTTTTTATGTAAATAGGGATCCAATTTAAGGAAATCAGTATTTTTGGACACCTCACGGGCAAAGAAACGCTAGCAAAAAGGCACGCTAGCAAAAAGACACGCATCAACTAGGTAAGTCACCACCCGATATATAGGAAGAAATACTTGTAGGATTCGCTTGGATTGTATGCATGCTAGTACCTTTGCCTTAGATTAGCTCTCCATAAATGAGATTAGTCAAATTAATTGTGATGAGCGTATTAGGTGAATTATCTAAGTGTTACTTGTATTATTTAAGCTTTCGCCGTATGCATGCGTTTAATTTATGTTAGAATTGTGTATTCCACGTTCCAGGTGCTTGATGGATAAGTTCGCCCCAGTAACGATACACCTTCCCAGGAGAGAAAGAGAGAAAAAAAAAAACGAAACCACCAAAAATCTCGCGATTTTCGGCGGGATCCACTTAGACTCCCTTAAACCCTAGGAGTGGCCGCCTCCTTTAGCAGAAGGGACGTCAGTGTGCTTCGGAGTAAGGGAAGGCAGACTCACCACCGGAGAACGAACGAACGACGACACTTCCACCGGCGACAGCAGCCAAACTCTGATACCGCGAGGAAGAAGAAGAAGACGAAGACTTTCGGACGAGGAAGACGAAGCGGCAGACGTGGGTCGGCCCTCGACATTTCGCGAGTTGTCTCGGCCAGCGTGCAACCTGAACCTCGCAGGCCGCACTCGGACACCATCCTTAGGCCTCGTTCCCTTTCGGCCCAAACTGGAGGCGCGCCCAGAGACCCTGCGCTGACAGTGTTCGTCACAGCCATCGGTTTCAGCTCCATCGGCGGCTCCACGCACTCCCGGCTCGGCTAGGTTTGGCCAGACGGGGCGGCTTGGCGGCTCGACATCCGAATAGTATACCGATTCCTATGTTTTTGACCCTTCTGGAGCCATTCCCACCCTTGTTTCAACCATCTGAGGTCATTATAACTCCATGTTGACAAAATAGCTTGCGATAAGGTACCTTGGTAGTTAGGCATAAGGGATAGTCGTGAAAGGGCTCTAAGTGTATCATGTTATCTTATAGGAGGTAGTTAGGAGCTGGAGTTAGCGTTGTGGGTGACTTCGGTCAAGGCCAAGGAGGTAAGTAACCTTACTGTTGGCGTTAGTTATGTATGTATGTTGGTGTGTGCCCTGTGGCCCTTGCACGCACCATGTGTGTTGCTGATGTATGCTAGGTTAGGTGTTTCTTGCAGTGAAGTGTTATGTATGCCATATTTATGTATGTGATTCTTGCAGTAAAATGCTATGTATGCCATGTTTATGTATATGACGTCTATGACACGATTTGCTACCCTGTATGTATGAGTTTGATTGACATGTCATGAATGTAATGAGAACCCCGCATGCCATGAATGAGATGACTGGTAGGCTATGATAGGCTTGCTCGATGTTGACCCAGTGATGCTATGTAATGCGGCGAGGGGATGGAACGTTGTAGTGTAATGCCATGGAGGTAAATCTTAAGAACCTCATGCACGCTATGGTTATGTATTTGGGGGATCCCCCCGTTATGCTACTAATGGTATGGACGCGTGTATTCGATATTGTGTTTGCCACGATATCATGCATGCTCTCCTTTGTCCGTGGCGTCCGGTATTGTATGTCATTACATACCCGACCAAGCCAGGCCTAGGGAGTTTGCTTGCAAGCTCGTCTGGTGGGCCCACAGTCACACCCGTGGGCCATGCGTGGGAAGTACCATGCTCCACCCCCGCCCGGACAAAGCAAGGGCCTAGGGCCATGGGAAGGAATGGAAGACGGACCCCTCTCTCAGTTTCTTTCTTTTAACACTAGCGACATGTATGGGTATTATGTGCGACCTGAATGTGTATTATGTGCGACATGTATGTATATTGCGTGCGACTTGTATGTGTATTGTGAGCGACTACTTGTATCCGGATGTATGGATATATGCTTAACCCCAACAGTGGGGCGACTCACTGGGTATTTTATATAATACTCAATCCACATGCTACCTATATTTTTAGGTAAGGGAAAGGCTCCCATGTACAACTGACGGTGGATGTTGTGAAGGCCATGGAAATCTTGAGGAGAGTTTGTAGTGTCATAGGCGTTGTGTTGGATTCTTTTGGGTTCATAGTTTTTTGCAATTATTTCTTCTAGTTCTCTGTTGATTATTTCTAGGTTAGGTTGTCGTTATTGGTTTTTCCCGGTATGAACTGCTTATAATAATGCATTGTCAATATTGCGACTGTCTCACATGAACTGTTGTCCTGTTCATTATGCAAGTATAAGGTAACGTCGCTAATTAGGGTAGAGAAAATTAGGGCCGTTACAACCCCATTGAGCGCGAACTTCGTGTTTTGGGTGCTTGATGGAGGCCATCGCTCTGTTGAGCCAGCATGTCTAGTTTGCATGAATTATATATTATGGTATTAGAAGACGGTTGCATGCACACTCTGTTATTTGCTAGGGCCATTTTTATGATAAGCCTAGGGAATTACTGTTAGGAGTCATATGTCGCTCTAGCCAGACTTAACTTTCCCCTAGGAACATAGCGAATTACCACGGCAACAAGGTACCTCAGGAGTGTTCATAGATTGCTAGTGTAAGAACGATATCTATAGTTTCGTGGGAGGACCAAGGGTTCCTGACCAATCCTTACTGCTCTTGGCCATTTCGCATGGGAAATGTGTCCCCACGTCGTACAGCCCATTAGCTGCATGGGAACGGGTTGGGTCGCGCCCCCCATAGGTATATGGGCTTAAAGGTATTCATAACACCCCTAGGCTAGATACCATGTAGTCCCAAATAGTCATGTAGAGGTAGCGTCTCATAGAGAGATACTGACCATACCAGCTTGGCATAAGGAACCTCTAGGTGTCTAATGAAAGGACGATGAACCGGTGAAACCCAAGGGGCAAGCTCCAAGGGACTAAGATTAGAACCAGATATCCTAGAATCGAATTAGAAGATCGTGGGAACCTGTTAAGTTAGGATGCGAAGAGAGCCTACAAGTAGGTGGCTTACTGAGTATAATATTTATGCTCATCCTTGCTATGTTTTCCTTTTTCAGGAGCGTGAGGCGTCGGTCAAGGGCGGGCGTGATGGAGACGGGGATTGTCATAGAGGAATGGGTTGTCCCGGGTGTCAGTCCAGTCTTTATTTTTTATTTGCATTCTTTCGAAATTTATTTTCAAACTGTCAAGTGTTCTGTTTGTTTGTCATTGAAAAACTTTATTGGAGTTAAAGGATTTTCTCTATTTCATATTTAAATCACTTTGTGCATTCATGTGTTGTCATTAGTCACAATCCATAGTAAAATATTGGGTCGTGACAAATTTGGTATCAGAGCAGTTGGGTTATAGATCCTATGGACATTTAGGATAGAGAGTCGTGTCCTCGGTGACTTCGCTCGTCAAACACATGCCGCTCACGACCAAACGTCCTCACATGATGGAAACATAGAGACAAAAGTCAAGCTAGTATTTATAGACTATACCATGACCTACTATGGCATTATACTCGCACATTACCTAGGAGATGTGCTACGAATTAATTGTAACCATAGTCCTTTTTTCTATTATGGTAGATAATGACACCAAAGAGACAGGAACCATATGTAGGGCTCAGACCCAGAAGGGGAAGAAGAGAGGAAGTTCAGAACACCAAGGTTCCAACACCTGAAGTGGAACAACCTGAATTTCAAGAGGAGACTAGGGATATGCCCCAAACTAGCGAGGGGGTTGTACCACAGCCATATAAAACCAAAAGACGCCAAAGGAAGGCCAAGGCCCGAAGGCTGCTCAATACACCCCCTATTGCCCCCTTCTTCGAGAAGGTCCCATCAAGTCCAACCCCGTGTACAGCAGTCCTGCTAAACCAACAGTTAGTCATACCCACAACAGAGATGTTTCAGACGTTCATGATGACCTCGATAGAAAATCAGGCTCTGACGAACCAAATGATACAAACTATGATGGCTAATCAGTCAGCAGGGCAAGGGATCAAAGATTAAGGGACTATGACTGTGGAGTCCCACTACTTAAGAGATTTCCAGAGGCATAAACCGCCTTCCTTTGATTGAGGCAAGGTGGATCTCATTGCCGTTGAGAATTGGCTAGAGGCCATAGAAACGACCTTCCATTTTATAAATTGCCTGCTAAAGTATCAAGTCCATTGTGGGATGTATATGCTAAAAGGAAAGGTGCACTTCAGGTGGAAGGGTGCTCAGAAGACCAGTATACCACAAGGAGAGTTTATTACCTGGTAGCAGTTTAAAGATGCTTATCTCCACAAATATTATCCAATCATTGTCATAGTGAAAATGCAGACATCATTCCTCGAACTGAAACAGGGATACAGGTCAATGGAGGAATATGACTTAGAGTTCAATAGGCTGGCAAGGTTTTCTCCAGCTTATGTTAGTTCTGATGAGTTGAAGGGCGAACGATTTATTGCTGGTCTGAGGGAGGAACTGAGGGGCAATGTGGTATCCCAGTCATCCTTCGTCTATGTGAAAGCCCTTCAAGTGGCACCCTGCTTGACGCGTCCCGCACCGACAAGCTACAGTTGAGAACAGCACAATCATCTCACACTGTAGCCCAGGAAAAGGGGACAGACCGGAGCCACCCTAGAGTTGGTAGACCGCCCCATGGCCGCACTGATAAATGAAGAAGAGCCTCGGTACGGGACATGACCCTTTGTCCTAACTGTCGGCGTCCTCATACGGGGGAATGCAGGGCAGGAACAAACGTCTGCTACAGATGCGGCCAGATAGGGCACTTTGCAGTGGATTTCCCTCAGAGGAACGATCAACGTATCAACTGGCCTGCAGTACAGCATCAGAGGGGCCAGGGTGCTCAACATCAGTAGGGGCAAGCTGTAGCCCATGCAACAACAGCTAGGCAAGCTGACCAGCCTAACGTAGTTGTCATAGGTACGCTACCCATATTTGGCCATCTTGCTTTATTATTGTTTGATTCGGGTTCAACACATTTGTTCGTATCTGAGGAGTTTGTAGAGCTAGCACACCCAGAGAAAGAACTTTTAGAGATTACCCTATCAGTGTCCACCCCTACTCACGAACTGTTGTTAGCTACCCATAGGGTTAAGGGAGGTGGTGTAACAATATTAGGACGTGTCATCGAAGCTACATTGATAGTGTTCAGCATACAAGACTTCGATGTCATCTTGGGTATGGATTGGCTAGGTGAGAATCGCGTTTTGATAGATTGCAAGACTCGAATAATGACTCTCAGGCTCCCGTCAGGGGACAACTTACCTACAAGGGAGCCATTTCCAAAGGAGCCCCAAGCGTCATAACATCATTAAGGGTTAAGAAGTTGATTCGTAGTGGCGAAAGTGCATTTCTAGCTAATGTGACCTTAGACAATAGTAACAAACAAATAACCTCATCAGTACACATCGTCTGGGAGTTCGTAGATATCTTTCCAGAGGATTTTCCTGGTTTGCCCCCAGCTAGGGAAGTTGATTTTGGGATCGATTTAAAACAAGGAATTGTGCTGATCTCCAAGACACCTTACAAGATGGCACTTGCAGAACTCGAGGAATTGAAGGAACAGTTACAGGAGCTGTTGGATAAGGGTTTCATCCGACTTATTGTATCACCCTAGGGAGCCCCTATTCTGTTTGTCAAGAAGAAGGACGGGGTCCATGCAGTTGTGTATTGATTACAGGGAACTAAACAATATCACCATAAATAATAAGTACCCCCCCCCCCCCCCCCCCCCCCCCCCCCCCCCCCCCCCCCCCCCCCCCCCCCCCCCCCCCCCCCCCCCCCCCCCCCCCCCCCCCCCCCCCCCC